TTCGTGGAGAAAGTGCCGATATTGGAGTCTGATGAGGAAAATGAGGAAGGTACTGACACTGATGAAGGCACCATACCAAAGAAGAAACGGTCGCAAAGCAAAGATTGGATTTTCGTTAAAAAATTTGAAGACAAACACAGTGCTGAGGAGTATATAAAGGCTGAAAAAATTTGGTCTTTTCTGCGAACGCATGATGTACAGGAAGGGAGAAAAAAGTACTTTAGATGTAATAAAGTGGTGCGGAAGGGACCACAGTGTTCAGCTCAGTTGTATTTACTCATGTACTCATTCTCGGATGAAGTATTGTTGTTTCGGACAGGTTCTGATCATGACCACGATTCAAAAACGCTCGCTTGTTATGGGCTTAGTGACAGAGTAAAGGAAGAAATAAACAAATTATACGACTTACATCTCAAACCAAAAGCCATACTTGCAAATTTGACTAAAATTGATGGTATTAAAGTGCCAAAATTGTCCCAAGTAAGGACGTATTTAATTGACAGACGCCGTTGTAAATACGGACAGCCCACGATCAGCCTAGGCGAATTGGAAGCTTGGCTAAGGTCTCATTCACCAATTCCTGATAACGAACATGAAGTTTATGTTATTGGGTATGAAGTGATTGAAGAAACTAGTTCACCACGCTTTAGATTTATACTATCAACAAAATATTTGCTGCAAAAAGCACGTGACGTAAAAGTTATTCATGCTGATGCTACATACAAGTTGGTGTGGCAAGGATTCCCCGTTCTTGTCGTTGGAAGTACAGACAAAAATAAACGATTTCATCCATTCGGGCTTGGGGTTGCCACTAATGAGGCAAAAGAAGACTTTAAGTTGTTGTTCGATGCCATCAAGACTAATATCTTTAACTTGTACTCACAAACCTTCAAACCAGAAGTTCTAGTATGTGACGCAGCGAAAGCAATACAAAATGCATTTATAGAGGTATTTGGTGAAGATGTCACAATTCGAATGTGTTGGGCACATGCAAAAAAAAAAATTCAAGCTCATGTAGAGAAAGATACGCGAAAAAATGTTCACAAAGATTTGTTGACAGATGTGGATTCTCTCCAAGCAGTGACTGATTCAGAAACGTTCGAGTTAGCTTCACAAGCATTCTTGAAGAAATGGGAGGATGAGACAACTTTCATCCAGTATTTTAAGGAGGAATGGCTCATACAAAACCGTAACTGGTATTTGGGGGCTCACATGGGTTCACCAGCGACTAATAATGCACTAGAATCACATAACCGAGTAATCAAAGATGAATACACGCTCCGTGAACGTTTGCCACTGTCTCGTTTTTTGACAGTTGCTTCAGAGTTTGTAAATGGATGGTCGTTAGCTGTCGATGAAGTATTTGCGACATTACCAACTATGACTCTGAAAGACTGGACAGAAGCCTACCAATGGGCTAAGTTGCCTAAAGAAGTAATACTGACGTATAGTGACGATGCTTTTAAACACTACGAAGTACCGGCTGGTAAGGCAAACAAAATACAAAACTTTGAAAATACATGGACTGATTTTGATGAATACAAAGTCCAATGGTTCAGCAAATGGAGAGTGGATCTACCGCACAATATTGATTGGATGCATGGGAAATGCAACTGCCCTGCGTTTTACAAGAAATATATATGCAAACATATTATCGGATTAGCCATACGCTTAAAGCTGGCCAACCCCCCACCAGAAGCAAAAAATGTGCTTATCGGCCAGAAAAGAAAAAGGGGGCGCCCTTCGAAATCCAAACCAGCGCTGATTATTCAGTGATTAATGTTTTTTAAGAATAAATATTGATTATTTTAACTTTAATTAAGTGTTTTATCTACTATTCTGCTAGCCATAAACCAGCTATTTTAAACCAGCGCTGATTGTTCAGTGGTAATTATTTTAAACAATAAATATTGATTATTTTGACTTTAATTGTTTTATTTACTACTCTGCTAAAAATTTTATTTAAATATAATTTATACGACCAGTGGAAATTTAGAACCTTGGGAGTCTAGTTAAGTAGCAGAATCTTTTGGTTGAAACGATGATGACAACCCTAATTTTTTATTTGAACTTAATGCAATTTTCTAGTAACATAATATGATTTATTGGTGATCTCTTTAAATTAGTTTGCTTAAATACTTATTAGGACACACCTATTATAATACATACAAAAACATTTATTTGGTACTAGACCTTATATCACAGGATTTTAGGTGATTTATTGTGGAACTGATTTTGCATTGTTTGGTGACTACATTTTGGTGACAGATCTACTATTTTGAGGACAAACCCTATTATTTAAGAAACATAAAACTAATTAAATTGGTGATAGCTTAAATCATACCCATTGGAAAGGTTGTTGACTTTCAATATATTGGACGAAACATAGTAATAATTTATTTTATCGTATTATAATAATAAGTCTCTATCTAGGACGTCCACGTGGCAGCTTTATTGCGAAGAAAATGCATTTTTTTACAATAGATGTCGCTAGGTGTGCTTAAATGTGATTCATGTAAGTTGATTTCTTTACAATAGATGTCGCTAAGTGCGCTTAAACGTGATTCATGTAAGTTGATTCTTCTGAGTTGAGTCTTGTCATGTTGTGTACGATAGCGCAATAAATATTGTCTTCTACTACATACATGATAATACTTTTATATTGATAATTAAAGCAATTCGTGCAAAATTATTCCCTAACCATTCCAAAATATCAAAAATGCACAACGCTAATATTCAAGTTTTCACTTCTGCCGGCACTCCCGGAGTGCAACCCGTCGTTTTTTTTTCATTGGTCTCTTCTATGCCGTCGAAGAAATTCCGCCAATTTCCCATCTCGAGGTAGACACGGATGCTTATTGATTGATCGGTAATAAAGTTGCTTAAGTTCAACGATCGCAGCCGAACGCGCTAACCACTTGCGCCATCGAGCTCCTTTTGCCAACTCTCGTCAGTATTATGATATTATATTATCGGGCTTGGCTGTTAATGCTACCCCTAGCATTAACAGCCAAGCCCGAGTCCGGTCGAGTTTAATTTTCAAATGTTAATAGAATGGAAAGAAACGTGTACACGTGGAATTTATAACGATGAAGAAAATCTAAATAAATAGGCAGTATTTTATAACAGCCGAGTTAAACACTGTTATTGTATGGCTGCTGACACATATAAGGTTTCTGTGTGCTCATGGGAAGTAGGTGAATTGAATTTTGTTCTGTGTCATCATGATTCGTGATCCGCCAACACTATTCGCTATTTTATTAAAGCGCTATATTTGTTACTGCTCCCTCATATGTATCTGCAAGATTTTAAGTTACTCGTCTACTTATGAACCATGAGCTCGAGGAAGATGAGGAGCTCGATGGCGCAACTGGTTAGCGCATTCGGCTGCGATCGTTTAAATTAAGCAACTTTCCCAGTGGTCGGTCATTGGATGGGTGACCAAAAATTTACTATCTCGATCTCCTCCGTGCTTCGGAAGGCACGTTAAGCCGTTGGTCGCGGTTGCATCTGCAATCGTTAGCAACCCACCAATCCGCACTGGGCCCGCGTAGTTATCATGGCCCAATCTCCCTATTCCATCCATAGGGAAGGCCTGTGCCCCAGCAGTGGGGAGATTAATTGGCTGATGATGATGTATGAACCATCGTTACCTACATCCAGCCATCTGGTCGATGCGTTCAATGGCTAAGCTATTTGACCTTAAACCATTTGATTGGATGCCGGCATTTAATGAACGACCTAGGTCTTGTATTGGTTACCTACTTTAACCAAATAGCTATTGCCAGGGTATTAAATGGCAACGAATACAATTTAAGTAAATTTCTCAACTATTATCAACGGAATTTGAAAAATATTGATAAAGTACATATTGACTTATCTTCTATACTTATAATAAATCTGTAGAGAGGTCAATTCTGTACATGAAATATATTTTCAAAATAACTATCAGGGGGTGATTAGTGATCGATACTGATGCCAAAAATGCAATCAGTAAAATTTTTGTCTGTCTGTCTGTCTGTGTGTATGTTCCTTATAGAAACAAAAACTACTCGACGGATTTTAACCAAACTTGGTACAATTATTCTTCATACTCCTGGGCAGGTTATAGTATACTTTTCATCACGCTACAATCAATAGCAGCAGAGTGGTGAAGGGAAATGTTGGGAAAACGGGAGAAGTTACTCCATTTTTTAAGCTTCCGTCGCGTGTGCAGCCTTAATGGTTAAAGTTACATAGAAATCATGTATGACGAAAATATTCTACATAAAATTGACTAAAAAATATCCCGCAACAGCATATGTCTATCTTTTATGGCTGACTCACAATAACACGTGTAATTATATAAATAAAGTCATTGTTTATACAAGCCTGAGAACAAAAACTATAGTTTACCCTACAGCTCTACACCGAAGCGAAGCGAGGGCGGGCCACTAGTACATAATATGATGTGAATTGCTTATTACTACAAAGTTACTTATTTACATATTTTTTTTATTTTTGTTTTTATTTACTTTTTTAGTTATTTATTTACTTATTTATTTTATTTAGTTACTTATTTTATTTAAACCAACGTGACTCCCTGAAATTTTAGACGTTAATTCAAAGCGGAACGGATATTTTCCCAAATTCTTTTTGACGTGACAACGTCTTAAATTAGGTTGCGGCTGGGAGTCGCTTATGAAAAAGTGTAACGCTCGGTAACGTTACGATGAGTCTCTCGTGTTAAGTTTAAGTTTACATGTACAATGTTTTAGTAAACAAAATATATTTCTATAGTTAAAATTTGTGCAATTCTTATTTTCATTCAATTCCTTGTTCCTATTGTGCAATTTAATTATATTCATATCAATAAATATTCTACCGAGAAAAAGACGTTGTCACGTAAAATCTTCGCCCGTAAAACCGACTTTACAGGCAACCATTTTTTATTACAAATACTTCATGCCGTGTCACCAGTATTTGTACAGCCTATATAGCATTGTATTTATTTATCCCAGCATCATGCGCGTCTGCCTTGGAGGCTGGCGATGCCGGCCCTTGGGATCTGGTAGTGAACTGCGCTGGGGAGACGCGCGTGGGACAAACGGAAGCAGTATACGCGGAAGGCATCGTCACGCTCAGCACAAATGTGGCCAAACGATGCGCCGCGCTTGGGGTCAAGCGTCTAGTGGAGATCTCCAGCGGACACATGTTCAGCAGCGATAAGGTAAGGCGTCCTTTAGATGCTCATAAAGCCGTCAATCAATTTCATCAGTTATTACCTTGACTGACAGCAAAACCTTCCGTCTTAACGCCGCCTAATACAGGCATATATCGTAAGAAAGGTACGAGATCGTGTTTCGATTGAAATTAAAAATGAGATGGTTGTTGGAGATGAGTAAGGGAAGTCAGGTAGTATTGTGCGGGCGATACTCGCCACACGGCCGCTTACAGGGTGACGCAGCGTTGGTAGGCCCTCACAATGTGAATCTGGATGCGGGCAGTGCAGGACCGATCGGTTTGGAATTCCTTGGGGGAGGCCTAATAATTAGGCGCGGCCCAGCTTCGCCACATCAGTGCTGAGTGTAAAGATGCCTTCGTACTGTCCCACGTGAGTCTCATCGTCATCCTATTAGCCGATAGGTGCTCACTACTGGACATAGGCCTCCCCCAAGGAATTTCAAACCGATCGGTCCTGCGCTGCCCGCATCCAGCGCCTCCCCCCGACCGCGCAGGACGTAAATCAAGATCGGAAAGAGATTGTATGTGTGAGATAAGATGGAGTTTGGATCGACTTGATTGTGAAATGAGATCGAGTTTGAAGTTTGATGAGGTCGTATCTGATTGAGATGAAAGGTGAGATCATATTAGTGAGATGAGATCGAGTTTGGAACCAGATGAGATGAGATCACGTACACAGATCAAAATAGATAACGCGACTGTATAAGTGTATGTTCTTCGTGTGCTGAAAATATGTCAAAAGGAAGAGCAAAGTTCTTGCTTTATAGGTTCCTTTAAAGCCGTTAAAAGTACGAGATAATTTATAGTTTTATGAAATATTTAGTACATTTCAACCTTCAATCCTGTGTCTGTGACTGAGTAAGTTCAATGAGCACCCACCAACCAATCCACTCTGCCATATCTTCATATCTGGGCGTTGCCCAGATCCTCAGCGAGACTCGGTACACCGGGATCCGTTGTGGATGCTCTGAGAAGACTGGGTGGATTCAATTAAATTCTATATTCATTGATACAGTTTATGCTTTCACAAGCTCATGTGAAAGTCGAAAGCTACGCCATCGGTTCGCAAATCTACGGCGGGAGACCTTGTACTGAGAAGAACCGCCAAGAAACTCTGCAAGGGCTGCAGTTTTCTCCCTGTTTTATTTCATACAGTATCGTCAAATTTAAAGCTGACAGCAAACTTATAAACTAATATTAGAACAAGATTGATCTGCTTCTGACAGGGAGGTGGGCTTGTTGGCTTTCATGGCTGGGATAATTCGCCACCATGACTCACGTACAATCGTCCACTTAATCTCTGAAGTCATTTTTCAACTTGACGACTCTGTATATAACAATACAGGGAGAAAAAAAACAGCCCTTGCTGAGTTTGTTGCCGGTTCTTCTCAGCACAAGGTCTCCCGCCGTAGTTTTACGAACCGATGGCGTAGCTTCTTGACCTTCACAAGTGCTTCTAACAGCCTAGACTGAATAAATGACATTTCATTTCATTAAGGACTAAATGTGGAAACTATTCTAATTGCCTTCTAACGATATGTCTACAGCCCCATAAAGAGGATGACCCCATAGAGCCATGGACGGTGGAGGCTCGCATGAAGAGCAAGGTGGAGCAGGAGCTGAAGAGTCTGGAGCCCGAGCTGAACTACACCATCCTCAGGCCGGCCATAGTCTACGGAATCGGAGATAGGAGAAGCTTGAGTAAGTTCAACTCTTCTTACTTCTATGTATAGACATAGTGTTAAAAGGGAGATGCTCTGCATGATACAACGCATAATATCAGCGGTTAGTGAAGCGCCTGGGTATTTAGCACTAAAATAAATCAAATATTCTTATATCGTTCCACATACACGTACAACAAGGAATTCTCTAAATTTACTCTCTTTAATATGTCTCTTGATACATTCAAAAGGAAATTCGCAAAGTAAAACTTTCAGGAAAGGCTTAAAAAAAGTACGTATGTATGTACATGTGTGTATATAAATATTTCGTTATATAATTGTGTTTGGATTTTCATTAGCTGACCACGTCCTAACTTCAGCTCTGTTTTCAAATTGTATTTAGGCACTGTTAGGTCTATTTCATAAATAATATTTAACAAGCTTCTTTTATAAAATATATGACTTTTTGTTGCAAAAAAAATGTCAAATTGTGTGCTTCGAAAGTGTGTGTGATAAAGAGTATCTTATCATACGTTTGAATGTGGAAGAAGATACCATATAGTATATCTTTTTAAAACACTAATTTTATTTATTAATGTATCCAAAATATCATCCCCGCAGCGGCCTTGGTGTCGTTGTGGCATTGTGCTGAAGCAGGGACCTAGTTGATCTAATTTTTTTTTATGCTTTTAATTTTATTTTTCAATGTTATTGGTTGATAAATTATTTCTTACTTTCTATCTTTTTATGATCAATGAAATATGGCTTTCCACCGCTTCAACTATTTTAGCGGCTGAACTCCACTTACATGTTAACACGAGGTAAGGTGGGGTAATTTGCTACACCATGTACTTACGAGTATAAGCTTCATTTTTTTTCTACTAAATACGACTACTAAATTATAGCTTTTAACGGGATTGTTACCATGTACCTTGTTTTTTATGAGTCTGATATTCCGGCACTGTTACAAGCGCCATGATCACGGAGTAACTGAAGTAATTGCGGGTAGATGTTATTGGCAGACATATCGGTCTACCCTCTGGCGTAGATTTTATTGTTTTCGTGGTCCTTAGGTCCCTAGTGGTAGGCCCCTACCACTGGTCACATTCTCACTATTCACTCGCACTTGTTTCCGACACTTTTTCGATTTTTTAAAATATTTTTGTTTCTTTTTATATAAAAAATCTAGCAGTTTAACACTTAAAATCAAGATAATGATATCTCTAATAGATCACTTGTTTGCCCACCAGCACCGCGTCTCCTCTACGGCGGCATATACAAGCATCTAGGCGAGACCATGAAACTTCTATGGACGGCAGATTTAAAGATGAACACTGTCCACGTTAGAGACGTTTGTCGCGCAATATGGACGCTGGGCAGTCGGCCTTCTTTGCCCAATAAAGTGTACAATGTGGTTGACGAAGCCGATTCTACTCAAGGCAGTCTGGCACAACTGGTGTCCGAGATATTTAACATCAATCATGATTACTATGGGACGGCTATTTCGACGCTGGCTAAGGTGAGTTACTTAGATTTTAGTCGATGAATAAAGTAAATACATTTAATCTACCCAAATTAATTTTGATATGAACCCACTTTCGTCTCGGCCAATCGATCTAGATTGAGTCAGGATCTCATTTCAATACAAACTCTGTCCGTCTCACTTTCGTCCTGATCCAGACTCGATCTTATCTCACTTTCATTTAGATACAATCCTGATGTCATTTAACTTTCATCCCCATCCAAACATAGATAGATAAATTATTTTATCACCATCATATATAGCACTTGAATTCGAGTAGACTAATAGTGGCGTTAATTACTAAAACAATGTGCTGCATATATTGCTAAAACAATTTGCAACATATATTGCTAAAACAATTTGCAGCATATGTTGCTAAAACAATTTGTAACATATACAGTAGATCCCCGGTAGTCCGACAAACATTTTGCAGGGCAGTGTCGAACTATCGAATTTGTCGGATTATAGAGTACTACCTAAGACCCCCTATAATCCGTTTTTTTTTTACAAAAGAGTACCTTGTAATCCGACAAATTACAGATCCAATGATAAGATTACAAATCATACTTCGTTATGTGTGTCAAATTTAGTAAATTAAACAACACAATAGAAAGATTACGTTTTATTATAAAAGTAACGTCATTAATGCTATAGAATTTACAAAAAAATATAAAAAACAATACCCTACGCGTCGAGCACAATAGTGATGGTGCGTACAAGTTGTAACTTGTTAAATAGTGAATTAGCGAATACTTGTATGTAATAGAAGATGTCGGATTATAGGGGGTGCCGCATGAGCCAGGGGCCGGATTACCGGGGCTCCACTGTATTGCTAAAACAATGTGCAGTATATATTACTAAAACAATGTGCAGCATATATTTCTATTTCATATCTCATTTTAATTATCATTGCTAACGTTTTGGTTATTCTTGTATAAAGTTCTTTTATATAAAATGAAGATAGTCTTATACTTCTTATCATTTCTTTAGTTTTTTTCCATAGTTTTCTCAGACGTGTGTCGGAAAACTCTAAATACAATTTTAAAAAATCGATTAATCTCAATAAATTCCCGTTCATTTTAATCATCACGAAACGCACTTTCAGTAGATACAACTATGATAGTTAAATTTAAGAAGTTTTAAGTTAAGTTAACAAAGTTTTAAACTTAAAACATTTTGAAAAACTCAAATCACAGTTCCGAGGTAGCAAGTGACATGATATCTTTGCTGTTCAGTGTGTTTTATCTATTCGTGTTGCTTCAGAACGACATAGCATCAGTGGCGGAAGAAGCGAACGACAAGCATTTAACCGCTTGGGCTGACATTTGTCGCCGCTACAACCTCGCCCACACTCCTCTAGAGCCCAGCGCTGGGGCCGAGTTATTACTCAATAAACGACTCTGTCTCGACGGCACAAGACTCAGGGACTCGCTGCCTTTAGACGTGCCCAGACCTACTGTACAATTGCTGCGAGAGGTAAATAGAAGCATTTATTAAATCTAACGTAGGCTATTACAAACGCTTCTAAAAGTCGTTGTTGCTCAATAAACGACTCTATCTCGACGGCGCAAGGCTCAAGGATTTACTGCCTTTAGACGTGCTCAGACCTACTGCGCAACTGCTGCGAGAGGTAATTTTACTCGTTTATTCAATCTAGATTATTAAAAACACTTCTAAAAGTCGTTGTTGCTCAATAAACAACTCTGTCTCGACGGCACAAGGCTCAGGGACACGCTGCCTTTAGACGTGCCCAGACCAACTGTACAATTGCTGCGAGAGGTAAATAGAAGCATTTAATTAATCTAACGTAGGCTATTACAAACGCTTTTAAAAGTCGTTGTTGCTCAATAAACGACTATCTCGACGGCACAAGGCTAAGGGATTTACTGCATTTAGACGTGCTCAGACCTACTGCGCAACTGCTGCGAGAGGTAATTATAGTCATTTATTCAATATAGACTATTACAAACACTTCTGAAAGTCCTTGTTGCTCAATAAACGACTCTGTCTCGACGGCACAAGGCTCAGGGATATACTGCCTTTGACGTGCCCAGACCTACTGTACAATTGCTGCGAGAGGTAAATAGAAGCATTTATTAAATCTAGCTAGGCTATTACAAACACTTCTGAAAGTCCTTGTTGCTCAATAAACGACTCTGTCTCGACGGCACAAGGCTCAGAGATTTACTGCCTTTAGAGGTGCTTAGACCTATTGCGCAACTGCTGCGAGAGGTAATTTTACTCATTTATTCAATCTAGTCTTTTAAAAACCCTTCTAAAAGTCGTTGTTGCTCAATAAACGACTCTATCTCGACGGCACAAGGCTCAGGGATTTACTACCTTTAGACGTGCTCAGACCTACTGTACAATTGCTGCGAGAGGTAAATAGAAGCATTTATTAAATCTAGCTAGGCTATTACAAACACTTCTGAAAGTTTGTTTCTCCCATGATATATTATCTATCTATATATATAAAACTCAAAGGTGACTGACTGACATAGTGATCTATCAACGCACAGCCCAAACCACTAGACGGATCGGGCTGAAATTTGGCATGCGGGTAGATGTTATGACGTAGGCATCCGCTAAGAAAGGATTTTGATCAATTCTACTCCGAAGCGAAGCGAGGGCGGACCACTAGTTTCTATATATTATTATTATTTATTATTATGTTACGTTCACAGTAATTGCGTTTAAAATCTGTTTCTACTTTTAATTTACTTTTAAAGAGTAACATTTATTAATCGTCGAGCGCTCCAATTAGCCTGTTTTCAAATCTCTTATATAATATAATTTAATTTGTTTCTTAAGTTTTAACGCACACCACTCATTAAATAATACAAGTTTCAAAGGTATAAATGCACTGATATGATTTATATATTGACGTTTCGTATTCTGGAAAGGAAACGTGGCCTGGGCCTATGCCTATAAGAGCTTTGTCGCCAAATTATCTTATAATTTAGATAATAGTAACAACAGATCCTAATAAAAAAAAATGTGCGGACCACACATCTGAAGTGAAACTTCTTTTCTTAAATAACCTTGCATAAGGCATAGGCATGACTCATATATATGTATATATACATATATAGGAGCTCTATGGCGCAAGTGGTTAGCGCGTTCGGCTGCGATCGTTGAACTTAAGCAACTTTCGCAGTGGTCGGTCATTGGGTGGGTGACCAAAAATTACTATCTCGAGCTCTTCCGTGCCTCGGAAGGCACGTTAAGCTGTTGGTCCCGGCTGCATCTGCAGTCGTTAGCACCCACCAATCCGCACTGGGCCCGCGTGTTGGGTCATGGCCCAATCTCCTTATTCCATCCATAGGGAAGGCCTGTGCCCCAGCAGTGGGGACATTAATAGGCTGATGATGATGATGATGATGATACATATATATATTGTCACGTGACGCTCGTGACGCATTTCCGTTTCGTCTTTTACATAGGATTATTCCATTTACACCCCGTCCGAAATGAAGTTTCACTTAAAAAAAATACAAAATAACTTGCCTTTTTCGTTCAATTACTTCCAGGTGCTGGAAGACTACGCTTCAATGAATCTCTTCCCTAAAGAACTGCTGCTATGACTGCATACGTAAGATAATCTAACAGTCTATAAGAAGCATAGTAGTAAGTTTTATGCTTATTTTACGAAGTCAATGCTAGAGCCAGCTATCTTGGCTGTCGTGATCATAAAGAGCATTGAAAACAAAGGCAGGTCACTTAAAAAAAACTTAATTTCACATGGCAATTTGCTTCTTTTTTAAATGGCAATTCTTTTCTTTTTTTTATTTCATTAACTTAAGGAAGGCAAAAGTATTTTTTACCATACAGCCGTGTCTTCTCCATACTTTTCGTATTCTAAGTTCTTGTTCCATTAATCTGCTTTTGTTTTCAAAGCGCTATTAATATGTTAACCATTATTATTATTAGTACGCGTTTAACCGAAAATCGGTTTTTAAACATTCACCTATGAAGAGCTCAGTTTTTCTTGTTCATAATATTTTTGTACTCCTGTAAAAATAAAACGCTGTGATAAAAAAAAGTACTATGTAAAAAGTTTTGATACTGAAATGTTGCGTCCCTATAAGTTTCGGTCGAGTATTTTTATAAAAAAGGTGGTGACAATAAATTTTATGAAAAAACGCTTTGTAAGGGGGATATAAGACTGCGAATACCAAAAAGCAATGTAAAACATTCTTGCTTTCCACTAAACTTATCTCTTCATAAAATAATAATACTTACACAAGCTAAAAATTGTAAAGAAGCATAAATAATTCTATTTCTTTAAAAAATAATGCTGTTACTATGATGTGACTTTCGAAAACTTTAATAATCTTTTTATTCCAGGCAAGTTTAAGCCTTTTAAATTAAGTACTTAATCTTCTTTTATTTAGTTAAAGTTAGGATAATTTCATTTATGGAATAATTCAATATCAAAAAATACTAATTATAATTATATGAAGGTCGACAAAATTGTAAATTGCATACACCGCCCATTTAATAAATATTTTAAATCTGGAAATAAATTCGTATTGATATAAAACGTACTGCATTATAAGTCTTTTTAATAAGACTACGTCATTCCCACTTTATAATGTTTCCTCTGTATGCTGAATGTGAGTTTTAAAAACTCTTAATTTAATCTGAAATTAGTAATGGCCGTCTACTGACATCTACTAGTAGTTTCATCAAGTTAATATAAAACGAGTGTTAATAAAGATAATCATCATTTGAAGGCGAGGAAAAAATGCAAAAATCTTGAGATTAATTTGTACGGACATTATTTAGTTTTCCACTAGATGTTTTCCGCTTCTCAAACGTCAAAATGATTACACGTGTGACAAGTCACTTTCAGCTATGCTATCTCCCTGTGCTTCCAAAAATATTCTTACGGTACTTTAAATACGTAATTCATTAGAAATGAAAGTTACGATAGGGCAGTCACTACACTATTAGCTATATACAAAGAGTTGTATTACCTACCTGTCAATCAATCTAATAATTTGAACTGTCTTTTATCAGTACATTAGAAAATTTCAGTATTTTTAAAAAAGTATTTATTAAATTAAAAAGTAAAAACTATTTCGACTGATTATTAATTTGAGATTAATGTCTACGCGTATTTTGAAGCAGTTATTTGCCTAAAGTTTATTTTCTATTGTAACGGGTAGGCATTTTAATTTTTTTAACTGGTACCTTAAACAGATATGTCAATTACCAGTACCAATATATTTTTACTTACTGTAACTTTTGTCAAGAAGTAAAGTCATTATATAGATTTTAAGGTATGTTATTGTAAACTCATGAATTTATAAAAGCTTTTTCGGTTTGAGGTTTGGTTTTCTGACCAAAAATGTATAGGTACTTAACAACAAGATTGTGAAATGGATATTTCATTCAGCATTAGTAATATTATGCATAGTTATGTATTTAAAATTTATTTGCATTCATTTAATTTGATACAAACGATTATGGTGCTTTATGTATTCTCTGGACATGGAAAAGAACATTCTCGTACTACAACTGGTAACTTAATATTTAGTACGCCATTTTATAAGGAATTGAAGTGTTTTTAGTCTTACCTTTTTATTAGGGATTGAAATGTTTTAAAAATAATCTTAATCACCTACAGCATGAGACCACAATGTACCAGGTCACATACTTTTTACTGTGTATATTATACTGATAATATTTTATGTTAATATTTACATTGTAGTGACGTCACAAGATTATTTGCATTATTATTGTTTATATGAAGTGTTATGAACGCTATCATTAAGTAGTTTACTTTGTAAAGGCGCGGCCTGTAAAGAGCTTATTTGAATCTGTAATATTTTTGTGTATTTTCCGTGGCAATATGTATTATGAAATAAAAATTGTTTATTTCTACGTATCGACTTTTATTTTGACTGTCCGTATGGGGCATTATTTACGGATATACAGAAACTTCGCTTACTTATCGACAATGATCATTTATGAACACTATTGCATTGCATCTACAGAATAAAGAGGCTAGGAGGATCATATATACCGTTTGTACGGAAACCGATCTTGCCGGCTCGCTCCCACTACACTTCCACCTAATAGATAATAGCCAATCAAACGACGCGGCATCAAACAATCGGACTAATCAGCGCTCACAGCCGAGAGCAACGACGCAATCAGAACCAAGTTTAGGTCGAGTTATGGCTCCAGATCTACACAATGAACTTAGTCGGTTGTACGTTCCTGACCGATATACGGGGCACCGACTTAACCATCCACGTCGTCTCTTCGCACCACCGTTTGCCCGCACTGTTACTTATGCGCTCCTGGCTGATAAGCCTGAGTGTGATGTGTATGCAGATGGATGGAATAAAATAATGTATGACTGCCTATTGTTTTGCGTGAAAAATGAGTGTGAATCCTCATGTTTGTAATTCTTTGTTTTTTTTCTAATTGCTGTAAATGGTATTTTGCCGTAGTAATTAGAATAAATAATTAAAATAAAAGGGTAGCTCATATATGTCCCGTTCACAAGGCCCTGCTAACCTCTTTTTGTGTTCCGTGATGAACACTATTGAAGTATTTCAATAGGTCCAAGCACAACTTTGACAGTAGTAAGTTCTATAAAAACTAAGCAGCGAGGATACCGGACCTAAGAACAAACTGGCACCTTCCATAGAAATTCCTACACGAACAAAGAAATTTGGTGACTCATTTCTTTGTCATACTATTCGTAAGTGGAATTCTTTGCCCGCGCACGTGTTCCCTCCTTCCTACAATCTGTACCCTTAGTACCAGTTTGAGCTCACGAAAACTATCATAGTTTTCGTAATGGTACATTATGTTTCTATATCCATTTTGGTGAAAAGTAACCAAATATACTTAAAAGTTAAGAAGACGGAAATGATTTAATGATAGATTTTAAACACTGTTTAATTGTATTGAAACGAAAACAATGAAAACAGGACCCTTAGTATGAGTGCGAGCTCACGAAAACTATCATAGTTTTCGTAATTGTAAAACTCGTACCAAGGGTACTGGGGTCCTTTAAGAGAGGCGTGAAGGGAATTTTTGCAAGCCGGCAAGGTAAGGATGGTTGGTGTGGCAGTTTATAACTGCTGTACCAGCTATCTTCGCGTTTGGAGTTTATCACCACTTAACATCAGGTGGGGTAGCGTCATTTACCTACCTGGATATAAAAAAAGACGGGTTGCACTCCGGGAGTGCCGGCAGAAGTAAAAACTTTAATATAAACGTTGTGCATTTTTGATATTTTGGAATGGTTAGGAAATAATATTGCACGAATTCCTTTATTATCAGTATAAAAGTACTATCATGTATGTGGTAGAATACAATATTAATTTATCGCGCTATCGTACACAAACATGACAATTTATATAACATTAAAAAGTTTATCTCTCAGAAAAATCAACTTACATGAATCACATTTAAGCGCACCTAGCGACATCTATTGTAAAAAAATGCATTTTCTTCGCAATAAAGCTGCCACCTGGACGTCCTAGATAGAGACTTATTATTACAATACTATAAATAAAATATCTTTTTTTATGCATAAAAGGCAATGCGTTTGAACACAATCTCGTCGCCTGATGTAAAGCGATGATGAGGCCTAGGATGGGATACGCCTGCCTAGAAGATTATATAGATTAAAATTTCAACCAATATATTGAAAGTCAACAACCTTTTCAATTTTATTGTTTTCGTCTTACGAATTTTCGATTAGGTCACGTGTCCTGACGAGAGTTTAACAGTTTTTATCCATTACAAAAAGTGTTCAACGCCGCTAAAAAAAGTTTCCACTTCAAAAAAAATACGATGACAATACGATTACGGAGCTGTCAAAGGTCGTGCTTGGGCGTCAGGTAGGTTTTCTATGGCTACTTGTGTTTTTGTATTTTAAATAAAACTCCATATGTTATCTTTTGGCAAACATGTTTATTCAATATCGACACCATTATGCTCTCGATCATATTTTTATGAACATACTGCAAACAACAAGTCAACAAACATTGCACACGTTACAGAATAACCCGTCTTAATTATTTTACATCATACGTCAGACGTCATAGAAATATCATTAATTTTATGCCAATTTCACACATAAAACAAATTTAAAATCAAATCGATAAAAGTGTACACAATTTGTTGTAAAACATGTATAGTCCAGTAAGAAAACATAGAATTTTCGTTATTTCTGAAAGTTCTGATTTTTTACGGACTTTATGATGTCGACTTTTACTGGACTATTTGTAAGGCTTTCCGTTCGGAAACTATTTGGTCTACAGACTCAATTCCTATTCCTTAATTCCCTAATTCATATTGTAGCAAATTTAGTCTATTTTAAAATCGTCTTGAGAAGATGCTATAAAAACTAGTCTGTTAGGGTTATAAAATCGCCAAAATCTGAAAAAAGCCGAAATCATTACGGTTTGTTTTAACTGTAAAGTTGCGTTCAACTCCCGAGTGACAAAACTTGGATTATTCATTGGTCCAACAACATAAACGAGTCTGCATAAAATCAGAACCACGCTACTATTGTTACTACAATGATTTGACGCAAACTGCCTCGTACTTTCAG